GTGGACTTGCTGGTGTGTTTGGGATCATTGTCCTGCTACATAACCCAAGTGCGCTTGAGCTTGAGGTCATAAACTGACGGCCGGAGCTCCTGTTGGTATGATGTTCTTTTTATGAAATGCTGTGTTGGTTTTATGCCGGATGTAAAGGGGGACACACCTTCCAAAAGTTCAACTTTTGTCGCATCAGTCCACAATTTTTGCCCAAAAGTCTTGGGGATAATCAAGATATTTTTTGGCAAATGTGAGACAGACCTTTGTGTTCTTATTGGTCAGCAGTGGCTTTTGCCTTGGAACTCTCCCATGGATGCCGTTTTTGCCCAGTCTCTTTCTTATCGTTGAATCATAAACACTGACCTTAATTGAGGCAAGTGAGGCCTGCAGTTCTTTAGATGTTGTTCTGGGTTCTTTTATGAGCTCCTGGATGAGTCGTCATTGCACTCTTGGAGTAATTTTGGTTGGCCGGCCACTCCTGGGAAGGTTCACCACTGTTCCAAGTTTTCTCAATTTGTGGATAATGGCTCTGACCGTGGTTCACTGGAGTACCAAAGCCTTAGAAATGGCTTTATAACACTTTCCAGACTGATACATGTCAACTATTTTGTTTCTCATCTGTTCTTGAATTTCTTTTGGCCGCGGCATGATGTGTTGCTCTTTAAGCATGCTTCACTTTGTCAGACAGGTTCTATTTAAGTGATTTCTTGATTCGTCAGGTCTGGCAGTAATCAGGCCTAGGTGTGGCTAGTGAAATTTAACTCGGCTTTCTAAAATAATGTGGTTAAGCACAGTTCTTTCATGATTTAACAGGAAGGGGCAATTCATTTTTCATGTAGGGCCAGGTAGGTTTGGACAGCTTTTTTACCTTAATAAATGAAATCATCATTTAAAAACTGCATTTTGTATTTACTTGCATTATCGTGGTGTAATATTAAAACTTGTTTGTTGATATGAATCTTAAGTGCGAGAAAAAAAAAAAACCGGGAAGGGGGCAAAAACCTTTTCACGGCACTGTAATTAGGTTATTAAAAGATTCAAAAAATGCACTTCTGCAACCAAACACTTAATCTAAATGCATCCGCTACAAACAAATCTCTTGCTTAAATCCTATAGCTAAAACAACAAAACTATAGCTAAGTGTTGTTCTAAAAATCGGTTTAACAATCATTATAGTTTGTATACATCCGAGTGTAAAAACAGTCTTTTGTGGGCTAATCCTCTCCTTGCACAGTTAAAAGAGTTTTAAATGCTGTATTTTGGCGTCTAATCCCAAAGCCTTATTGTTTGATTTAGTCTTTGTGCTTTAATCCTTGTTTGTCTACACCTCGCTTCAAAAACACCTGGAGGAAAACAAACAACTGTCCGCTAACAAAACAAAAACTCAATGCTGACATTACAGAGGTCAAAACAGAATAACAAACAAATGTATTTAATCTGGATTAAACAATAAACATCTTTAGATCTTTATGTAGAGACACAACGAACATGAAGTTTACAGACAAAACCTAATCTGTTGCGTTGTTCAGTCTTTTGCAAAGGCACGTCATGCGCTAAGGCCTGCAAGTAGTTGATTCACTCAGAGATTGTATGCGGCAAAACACTTTATTGGCTAGGAATTTTCTGAAGTATACCATAAGAGTTTTTTATTAGTTAGTTTTAGTTTTGATTTAAATAAATTAGTTTAGGCTTAGCAATTAGAATACATGTTATTTATAATGAATGCCACTATAAGGATTTGTTGTGGAGTGAGGGAAAATAAAATAAGCTTCTAATGTATTTACTGATGCAACTTATGCGCTTTTCTTCTTTAAACAATGCAATTTTTACCAGGTGTGACTTAAAATCAGGCATGACTTATATTTTGGAAAATATGGCAATATTTCAATTATTTTGGACTGGAGAACAATATTTTTCTTGGGACGTACCTTACTTCATTAAGGTTCCTCAAAACCTCCTGTTGTGTATTAGTAATGGTCTCCATTTCATGACTGGGAGCCTAAATAAGGACAGTTTAGATCATAAATTAGATGAATCACTTCTAAGTATTTAAAGCAATCATAATTTTGGTGCTTCATAAACTGATAAAGCAACATGTTTTAAAAGATGTCAGACTAGATCTAAATATATCTAATAATCTAGTCAACATTAGTGTTCAATGATTAAAACTTTTTTTGTTGTTGCCACATTTCAATTGCATTTGTCATATTCTACCTGTCCTGACTGTGCTTGTGACGAGCGTTTGGAGATCTCCTCTGTGATGACTGACACATAACGGCGTTGTTCATCCAGAATCATGGCCAGCTGCCTGCTCAGCTGCTTGATTTCCAGGTGGATTCGATTCTGCCCCTCAAACACCTGACGGATTTCCCGGTCGTTAACGCTTTCAAACAGGTCCTCAACTGCCAGAAGAGAAACACTGAACAGATGTTTTTCTACAAGTATGGGTTTTCATTTTTAAACTCTGTAAGTTAAAATTAATTATAGTGGAAACAGAATCTGTTGTAAAATTAAATAAATACATAAATATACATATATAATATTTTAGAAATAAATAACGTTTATTAGACTGTTGCAACAATATGTGACTCGTCCAATCTGATCTAAGATCAGAACGGGGTTTATAAAAAGTGTATTGGAAAAGTGTGTTTTATAGATAACATATTATCATTCTAGATTTCTGTGTTTATATGCCAGTTTCTCTTAATGTTTCCAGGACATTTCTTTTGACTATGAACATCATGAAAACCTAAAGCTGAATGTGCGTCTGAGGTCAAAACTTCAGACAGAATGAGAGCAACTCACTGAGCTGCCCCTGGACATCAGGGTGCTCTTTCTGAAACTCCTCTTTCCTTTTGTCCAGCTCTTGTTGGAAATTCTCAAATTCCTCCTGGTACTTGTCCTTCTCCTCTTTGGGAATCTCTTTTTCTGGGGGAGGCTTTATAGAAAGACACAAAACACACATTCAAACCCACTCACGCACATAGACACACTTACGCATACTCCAATTATAATGAACATGAGGAATGGAGTAAGAGGTGGACACTTATGAAATAAGTATGGCCGATTCTTTTTAATCATATACTTAAATGTGTGTACGCGACTGTGTGGGGTGGAAAATGCGTACCAGATTCTGCCCAGGCTCTGTAAGTCTGAACAGCAAAAATGACAGAACGTCATGATCATCTGTTGAAAACAAAAAACTGTTTAGCCACATTTTTAAAGCTGCAGTGTGCAATTTTAGTACTACCAGCAACACCAAACATGTTGTAAAGTTTAAAATGGCTTCTTTTAGCTATAAATGCTATAAACTATTCATTAGATTACTTTTTATGGCTTAAAGGGACAGTACATCTAAAAATGAAAATCTGTCATCATTTACTCATCCTGAAGTTGTTCCAAACCCGTATGAGTTTCTTTCTTCTGTTGAGCACAGAAGAGGATATTTTGAAGAATGGTAACCAAACTGTTGATGGAAGCCATTGTTTTCCAAAGTACGGAAGAAAAAATACTATGGAAGTCAATGGCTACCAGCAACTGTTTGGTTACCAACATTCTTCAAAATATCTTCTTTTGTGTTCTCGAGGGTGCGTAAATGATGACTTTCATTTTTGGTTGAAATATGTCTTTAATGGTTGAAAGCAAACTATTTTCTTGTTAGTTGATCCAGCTGAAGGATAACAAAGAAAACACTGGACTTTCAATCTGAACAAGAAAACTTTGTTATGTTTATCCCATACCGGCAAGTCCTCCAGTGGCTGCAGAGATGCCAAAATAACCAGTATCAGGGATGATCATGTTTTCAACTCTGGTGCAGAACTCATAATCATCTTTATCAGGAGTGAAGCCGTTATTGATGAAAACCTGAAACCATTGAGAATATTAACATGGGACTATAGCTTGGAAATGTCAGATTTTCATTCGAACTTCTTAATTTTTTAAAAAGGTTAAAATTTTACCCAAATTACATGAACATGCAAAAAAAAACAAAAATTACCAGTTGTTCAAAAATCTAGTAAATTATCAGGGTCAAAAGGTCCAATTTGAGTTGGATCTTTAGAATGAATATAACTTTGACCTACCGATAAAATTTTCTGGTAGTAGGTGATTTTGGCACGTACAGGGTAAGGTTTGTTTCTGAAGTCTCTAAGACATGTACCTAGAGACTGGGTTGTGCCATCACTGGAGAAAAATAAATATGGTTTATCAAATACATGCATATATAAACACAAAGACGACAACAACACGTTTCCTGTCAATAGGAAAAAAAAGCTAAATTAGTTTGTATTAAAATTTCCTTAATGTCATGAATCCATAAAAAACATATCAAGAATATGAAGGCCTATGGTTATGTTTGCGCAGTCTAGCACATATGCTGCTGACAGCTCTCCCCTGCTGGCTCACAGATCTAATTTAATGCTTTCACTGTTACTGCACTCAGATTAAGACAGACAGAGGATTAGACTCTCTCTCGTAAATAATCATATTTCCTAATCTCCTTTCGGTTGTAAAAATGAGAGCGCTGATGTCAGCAAGGAAGATATGTTTACTTACTTTTGATGGTCATAAATAAGTTTTCCATTGTTACCCACCACAAGGACAGCAGGGTTGTTTTTCTACAAGAGCAAGGTCACAGAAAAGAGACATAATCCTTATTTAGTACAGAGGAGATAAATCTACTGAGGTGCATTGGTGTTTGTTCCTGCATGAGTCAAATGCAAAACACAATCATAATCCTTTGATAAATATATACTGAGCTCTACCTTAAGATGTTTTGACTGAAAAATGCACATCGTTCAAAAACAAACATTATTGGGGCATTTTACAGACACAAACAAGTGTTAATTTTTTTTTACTTAACTAATAATTACAATAAATTCTAGGGTTACAATAAATAATTACTATACATTCTATTAGGCTGATTAATCAAATCAAATATTAAATTTGCTTTGAAAAGCCCCAAACAATATATGATATGTTAAAAATGTTATATTATTGAGACAGATGAGTAAAAACATTTAATATAAAATGCCTTTAAAAGTCAATATATTGTTTGTTTTCTTTTTTTAAATATTAGTTTTATTCAGCAAAAATGCAACTTGACAACAACAATTCAAAATAACATTTGATACAGCTATAATTGTAAAATTATTTATAATTATATTATTTTTATACATTTAAATTATAAAATTAAATAAACAAGTCTGAAATAAAATAATATTTAATTAAATGCAATTTTTTAAATTATACTTGTGTGCAATCACCTTTCCATCATTATCAAAAGAGTCAAAGAATATTCCCACGCCGTTCCACTGATCAGCGGCCCCGTACACACGACCCTCCAGACCTTGACCGGCCGTGAACCATATGGCCTACAGAACACAGAAACACACACACATCAGGCTCTCTTCAGTGAGCATGGGTAATTTGGTAAGTGGTGCTTGAGATCAGTGTGGTCTGCTCCACTGGACTGTGGGACAATTCAAAGAAAGCACATGTTACTTGTAGAACACTACATTTTAATTGCTCATTCTACACCGCAAATGCCGAACACCGTGAATTTATCAAGGCTGACCTGTAGATGCTTTTCCTGATAAAACGGTTTATTCTGTACAAAAAGAAGTGCACATGATAAGACGAAATATCTAAACCTAATGACTTCTAACAATTCAACAAAATCATATTTTGTGCAAGTTAAGCGGTATAGTGCCCAGGAATGTAGCCACACAAAATGAGCGCATGATGAATCACAGTGAGCCTGATATGTAAACCTACAATTTTGACGACTATATTTTCACATCTTATGAAAAAAAAAAAAAGTGACTTGTTTGCCCATGCAAAACTACCACCACAATGCTAGGGGGTGTAGGCATGTGACGGTATCACATTTTCATGTTGCGATAATTGCTAATGTTTTTATCATGTTATTGAAACTTAGGGCCGGTTTTACTAATAGCTTGCGCCAGCGCAAACCATCTTTTGGCGTTAAAATTGTACTGTCAGGTTTTACTAAAGACGCGCAGTAATGAATTAGCGATGAAAACATAGTGGACATAGTTATTTTTGCGCTTGAACTTATTGAATATGCATTTTTGGAGTTTCCCTTTCAGATGAAAAATTTATTGGAGGAGAGTATTCAAATGAAAAAACGCAACGCGTTTTACTAACGTTTGCGCTCGTCAAATTACTGGCATTTGCGCCATTATTTAACGCCCCAAAAAAGCATGTCTTAAACTATTTTTCGCTTGAAATGGCTGCAATTATTGCTAGGAGGAGGCACCGCAAAGAACAGAGAGCACGTGGTAGAAGGGAGAGGATTTTTTCCACACGTATTAATTTATTTTGAATGCCAGAAGAACACATTATCCGCACATATCGTTTGCCAAGACATGTTATTTTTAATTTGCTTCGGGAAATAAAAGACGACTTGGAACCCTCAACTAAAAGTCACGCAATACCAGGTCTATCAAAGCTTCTAGCAAACCTTCATTTTATGTCCCCCAGTTCTTTTCAACGTACTGTGGCTTCTTTATTACTTTATTAGTGACTATGCTAATTTGTGCTGCACTTGGTCGATATGTAAATGAGATGTTGCATCTGTGTTCTTTAATTTGCGCATTGTTAGTAAATCACCCGCAGAAATTTCCCCTCCCATCGGCGCTGTTTTGGAATTGCGCTCTCGCGATAATTTGCCGTTTCGTAACACTGGCCCTTAGCTGCAAAAAAAGAGTTGTTTTGTTCCCAGTACAACTGTAATATTCCCAGGTCATAGTAAGGTCATCGGCCAAACAGTCAGTGGCTTAACTTCGATTTTGCGAAGCTACAAGAATAATTTTAGTGCGCAAAGAAAAAAAAAATAGACTTTATTCAACAATTCGTGCTTTCCCCCCCCGAACGTAAACAACACTGATTACGTCGAATACGTTCTTGGATACTCTGCAAAATGTCGGAAGACGTAACTCTGTGGAGAAGAATTGTTGAATAAATTCTGTTATTTTTGTTTTCTTTGCGCACAAAAAGTATTCTCGTAGCTTCGCAAAAAAAACTGAAGTTGAGCCACCGATGTCCTTACTACGTTTCTGGACCTGGGAACATTACAGTTGCGTTGCTGTCTATGGAGGGTAAGAGAGCTCTCTGATTTCATAAAAAATATCTTAATTTGTGTTCCGAAGATGAACGAAGGTTATGTTACATGAGGGTGAGTAATTAATGACAGAATTTTTGGGTGAACTATCCCTTTAATGTAAAAAGTGTGACCGAACACAGCATACAGCGGTGTTGTGCATTTTAACCAGTTGATGGGAAAATAATTCTTAAAATGCATTAGAAAAATGTGAATAATTTGTAATAAATAATTATTCAAGGTATTTTGAAGTGCCCATGATAACAAAATCGTGCAAGTTCATTATTGTGTCTACTAGGGTGTTCTGGGTGGTTGCCCTGGCAAGACTATGCAGGTGTTCTGAGAGGCTGTTCTATACGGTTAGTAAAAATTTTCCACCATCAAGTATCTATGATTTTCTGATCTCTACATATGACTTCACAGGAAGTAGACACACTGCTTCAATGTTTTGCAGTTTCTGTTTGACATATGTGTCCTTCACACATCAGAAAAAGTTTTGCACTTGTGTTATGTACAAGTTTTAAACGTCATGTTTATTAGCAAATTTGCAGGGGAGAAAAGTATGGTTTCCGCAAAAATCATAAGCAGCACAACTGTTTCCAACATTGATAATAAGAAATGTTTCTTGAGCAGCAATTCAGCATATTAGAATGATTTCTGAATGCTCATGTGACACTGAAGACTGGAGTAATGATGCTGACAATTCAGCTTTACATCACAGAACTAAATTAGATTTTAAAGTATCTTAAAATAGAAAACAGTTACTTTAAGTTGCAATAATATTTTACAACAACAAGTTTTTACTGTAGAGTTTTGTTTAAATAAATGCAGCCTTGGTGAGCATTACTATGGAAGCTTGTTTCTGCCAAGGACTAAAAAAAAAAAGATATAAAAAAGGTAATTGGGACATTGTCTCTCATAATTCTGACTTTCATCTCATGATTCTTGCAAATGTGAGTTAATATCTCACAATTTGGACTTTACTCCTAAGACTTGTGAGAAAACAATGTCTAAACTGTGAAATATACACAAAGTCAAATTTTAAGTAAAATTTTAAGTCAGCATTGTGAGATAAAAAAAAAAAATCCATGGCAGAAATAAACTTCTATATATAAAAGACTTCTTTAAAAAATATTTTAATATTTAAATATCTGTATCTTACAAACCAAAGTGTACATAGAAAGCAATTTCTAGTACACTACTTGGAGTATGCACACTGGAGAAACCAGGGTTAAATGCTCAACTTAAGAACTCAAAAGGGTTCTATCAGATATATGCATTTGAAATGTAGAAATGAGGCTCGCATAAATAAATAATTGTCAGTTCTTTTATATAATATTTATTCGAAAAATTATTTTCCCCCTCCTTACCAATCCATCTGCTCCCATTCGTCCTCGTCCAGACACACGAAATGCCACTTCAGCTTCCCAGTGTTCAAAACTTACAGGGGCTTTTGTCCATACCGCTCCCCAGCAGCGCTGTCGGCGAAAACGTGCGGAAATATGAAAGATATTAGTAATAAATAGGCATAAGCTGCCAGGCACTTGGCTATGGGTACCGCCATGTTTGAGTCTGAGTGCTGACGTAGCGCAGATAGGGGCGGGATGACTGAAACGCTGAAGGACCAACAGGGCGCTCTCTCATTGGCTGAAGCGCTTGATTGACAGACGAGGAATTAATAAGCGAACCGCTTTGAGCCTCGTTTTCAGATACTGACGACTTGGTACTAGACGCATTGATAGCATACTAGTAAATTACTAGAGTTTGATGTGCTTTTATATACAGGGAATGAAAATTTGAATTGTAAAGAACAACACATATGTTTAATTTATTAGGAAAATACCATATCCATAAGAAGAAGTGGACTCAATGCAAACCAAATTTTATAAATGCCTTTAAATTATATGTAAATCTCTTGGAACAAACCAAAAACAAAAAAGTGCTGAAAACATGTAATGCTCTGAAAGCATAAAAATGTATTTTCTTTTCTTTTCTTTTCTCTCTGGTTCTTCTCTCATATTAATGTTAATATGATAACGTGGATATGTAATAGGCTGCCTCTTGTTCTTGTGGCATTGAATTAATAAAAAAATAAATAATACTATACATATACACACACACACCATATACATGGGCGACATTTGACTCTTGAGTCGGGGGGGAGGGGGGGACTAGAAATAAATATATAATATATTTCATATAAATATATATATGAAATAAATAAATAAAAGCAAAATAGATTTTTTTCTGATGTAAGCATCAAAACAATGCCCTACCATATTGCAATGCATCAAAGCAGTCAATCCAAGTCAAGAATAACTTAAAGAGGTTGCCACCGTTTAGTAAACTGTGTGAACTAGTTTTGTTCTCTTCCTGCTGACTTGAATGGTGATGCTTCCCGTTTGTCAGTTGATGGGCCTTAAATTTTTAACCAGAAATGTGCACGCTGCTTTTCTGACGTTAACTGAAGTTTTCCGTGTCTTTTTCCCGTGTCACTTGAAATGTTTCCGTTTTGAATCGTTGTTACCAAAGGTGACACAGGTGAGGAAAAAATAAACGATCAGTTGTGGGACACTGTAAAAAACAATCCGTAAAATTTACGGTAAAAAAACGGCAGCTGTGGTTGCCGGAATTTTACCGTAAAAATACGGTAGCAATGTTTTAGGTTTTACGGTTTCAACTTAAATTTACAGTTAAATACCGTAATTTCATTAACTGATATAATGTTAATATACCAACCTATTGAAGTACTGAAATCTGTTTTGTACCTTTTTAATACACTGACAACCACCAAATGCAGGTGGTGATGAGAAAGTCACATGATGAACCAAAGCCACCCTTTCCAACATTGACTGTATGATTTTGAAATCCATCTTTTAACACTGA